AATATAAATAATCATATCCAATAAATTAACAAACCTTGAATTGTTATCTGAAATTGGAATATATATATATATGTTCTCTAATACATAGAGTCGGTCCTATTGAAACATTCGCCTTAAACCTCTTTCTTCTCCCTCCCTCCAAAAAAATTGAAAAAGTTATATACAAAAATCCACACAAAAAAAAAAATTTAGACCATCAAATTTCTATTAAAATTTTTTTTTAGTTCAAATCTTCCATAAATTGTCTAGGACTCTGTTTATAAATAAAATCTTTTAAAAAGTAATCAGTGATAATTACTCAGAATATGTTATTCATAAATTCTTCTCTCGTTTTCTTGTTCTCTTGGCCAGTTTCCTCTATCTCTTTATCATCCCTCTCAAATCACACTATTTCCCGTGCTATTTTCATACAATTTTAGTTTTGATATTTAATTTCGATAAATATATAATTTAGTTATTTAAAAAGAAATTCCATTCATGAGATATAAGAAAAGGATAAAACTATATAAAGCTGAAACTAAACTTCGTTTGATTTCCAAACATGTACATATATTCATTTCGGATCTTACCATCTCAGTTTATTTTCTTATCTATATATAGCAAAGTATACATTCATAACATATGTTTGGTCTTATCGTATCAAAAGAGGAGGCATGTGTCAGACACATGTTGGATACAGTGAGGTTTCAATGTAATAATTTTCCCTTTTCCAAGATAGTATGATGTTTGGATCGGTCGGCCTGTGATTGTTTTTCAAACTTGGCAACGTTATCTCTAAAAAATGTTCCATGATAAATAAAACAAGTCGAATAATGGAGCTCAACGGGGAAAGATTAGCCTTATCCGATTTGACATGGTGTTTTATACTTCAATAAACAATAATATATAAATCTATTTGGTGCATTATTAATATTGATATTGATAAGCAAGGATCTAAATTCACGGGTTGAAAATTCAAGGAACAAAAAAAAGCTAAGCAAATGACATTATTGAGTGGGTATGTTGGGGGGAGTCTATGTTTGATAGCATGTGGTGATTATTAACACGTTACTTTAGATGCTGATCCATGTTTTGATTTGGGAGCTTACGCTTGGGCCCCTTTAGGATGAACAAGTTGCTAGTGTTACTTCGGTTGATATTATTGCAACTAGGTTAAACAACAAGAAGACAAACAACAACGATAATCTATTCCGTCTAAGAAATTAAATTCACATTATCGTTTAATAGATAGACTGATAGCTTGTCTGGTTTAAAAATATCATAGTCCCTCTCTTACCAAAGAAAAGTCCGTGTCGTAAGAAAATCAAAGAAAGGAAATTCTTCGTTTGGTGATGACAAAAGAACCAAAGATATCGAAAAGTAGAACCCTTGCCAACATTATCCTATGCAAGTAAGTATGTAGGGCTGTGTGATAAGTTTTTTATTCATCACTGAGGGATTAAAGTTTTCTGACTAATTTGTTCATATATATCACATCGATCCCAATATTGACAACTGGTTGCAGTGGAGAATAAATTTGAGCCTTATTATATAACCCAATTCTAATATTAATTATTAAATATTGGGATGTTGGCATATATGTAACGAGATTTCTATAATAATTCTGACGAATTCACAACACTAAACTCGTCTTAAGATTACGTGATAGAAGAACCGAAAGAACATGTTTTACGTAGTATGACCTTTATTCACACAAGATATGATTCAAACAACAAAATTTATTCAATATATTTATTCAATATGGATAGTATAATCAAAGTATTTCACAAATATAATATATATTAATTCATAGCAAATAATTAAGTCACTATACATGAAACGATATACAAGTCGAGTATATGAGCATCTCTTTCCATCAAAGTATATATAGCACACAAAAAAGTATATATCCAACAACACTCCAAGTTTTTGTTATTATGGTAAATTTATTGCCTTTCGGTATACAACAACTTAAAAAGAAAATAGAAAAACTAAAAGTTGACAATTATGGCTAATACTAATACTTAGATCACACACGAGGGAAGCTGAAACCCACTAGTAAGTTTATGGTGTTATTACCCAACGAATGAAAATGCGGTTTAGTGGATCAACACGACAAAAAACGAGATTACACCTTATCTCCTTTCTACTTCTTCATTATTTTTCAAATTTGACAATTTGTCAATGCAGTTGAAAAAAAAAATCAATAGAAAGAATACGAAGTTTCTTGCACTCAAATCTTTTGGTACCCCCCTCCTGTTTTTATTCAGATGGTGACTAGACTAGACTTTGATTTCATGATTTTATGTGATTGCTTTCATTTTACTTTTCTCTTGTGTGTGCAAATCTTTTTTTTTTCTGAAATATGTGTGCAAATCTTTCAGTTTACTTGTAATTTTTTGTTTTTCCTGTTATTTTAAGTTTTCTATATCTAATAATATTGGTGAATTATTCAGTAAAGTCCTTTATAGTTTATAAAATTTAAAATATTAGTTAGCCAAATAAACAGACAAACATTATTAGTTATGTTTGCTATCTAAGCAGGTAACATGGATGGTTAGAAAAAAAAGAAGAGAAATTAAGATCTGAAATTTGAAATCTGATGCGTTTTATTTTACCAGTTAAATTACACAAGCTTAGAGATATGAGAAGAGGGACTGGTGATGCATGATACTAATACGTCTGAATCCTTATACAAATGTTTGGAATCTCTTATATACTCTTATAAATAGAAATAGAGTGGTTGGTGACGCATGATACGAAGTTCACACTGGCTAAGCTTTAAAATGAGCAAAAGAGGATGGTGGTGCATGTTACTAGACTCGAATCCTTATAAAAATGCCTCAATTTTTTTTTTAAGGGGAAAGAGTGGCTGGTGGTGAATGATACTCTCTCCATTTTTAATAGATGAAGTTTTGGTTCTTTACACACATATTTTTTTTAAAATTAAAAAAATATTGAAAATATAATTTAAAACTAATTGATTTAATTATAAATAAAAATAGTAAAAAAATATTTGATTTACAAAAATTTTGATAAAATTTAAGTTATCTAAATATGCAAAAATTTCATCTATTATGAAACAACAACAATTATTTAAAACATCATCTATATTAAAACGAAGGGAGTAGTAAATAACAGAAGAATATTACCTGGTGGTACATTATTTTAGCCATGAAATACTACTGAACAGATGGCTTGACTCTATTTAATCATCAAAAAATGGCAATCCATGAAATTCCCTTACCCTGGTGCACTAAATGCTCTTTTACACCTCAAAAGTGCGATTGGTGTCTTACTCTGTGGCCTAGTTAAAGCTTTATCGATCACGTTCCTCTTCACCATGCGGGGTTTCCTCATGCAGTAATTATGTTAAACACTTTGGGGTCTTGTGGTTTACAATAACTTCGAGGCTTTTCTCTTGTTCCCACTTGGGAGAGTTACAGAAACTAAGGCATGAGATCACTGATTGGTAGACTTCCTCAGTGGTTTGGTTTTTGCGTGTGGGTCTATTCTTTTTTATTCGGTTTGGTCATCTCTTTCTTTGGTTTATCGTACGGTTCGTTTGAACATAACAATTGACAGATGTGATCAATTTGATTACATGAGATAAACACTCAACTATCATTGCAACTTTGGGACTCTTGATCATAAATATGTTTGGTGGAGTCATGTATCATAAATACTACATACACGACCCTGGAGATACATACATGCTATGTTTTAGATGCCAATAAAAAAATAATTTATGGCACAATTTCAAACTTAAGACCAAAAGGATATCATGTTATTTAATGTGAATACAAATGTAGAAAAGAAGAAGTTATTGTGGTTATAACTCTAGATAGAAAATCCAATGATATTAATGAGGTCGGTGATACTAATGTAGTTGTCATTTCTTTTGAAAAGTACTCGAAGAGGCAGTGAATCAGTGTCATTATTATGTAAAAGTGGTATATATATTTTATTCCTTAAAATTTTCTCCACTATTCAAAATTAATAATGATACATGTACACTTCTAGATCTGGGATTATGCGATTCTTTACTTAAAAAATATTATTATGATAAGGTTAATATTAAGAAGTCTTTTGTCCTCTGGTCAAAGAAGACTAGTTTCAAATTTTATACTTGTATCAAAGATATTTTCATCAAAATAAGAAGTTGTTTCTTAATAAAAGCAGTGTTTATTGTTATTTTGATTTTTAAGTAATAATATGTATTAGTATAATGTTTGAAAAAAATTTAGGTGTCTTTCGCAATTTTATACCTTGTATTGAATATATTTTTTTGGGGTCAAAAATACCTTGTATTGAAGATATTTTCATAAAATAAAAATTCTTAACAAAAGCAGTGTTTATTGTGATTTTGATTTGTAAGTAATAATTTATATTAGTATAATTTTTTTAAAAAAAGTTAGGTGTCTTTCCCATACATAGAAACTGAAAATTTTGAATGGGTAGCAATGAGTTGAAAAGAAGAAGGCAAATGCTGATATAAGACACGTGGCATTCATTAAACGGCTAAGATTAAATAGCCGTTAATTCTTAAGAAACTCTTTATGTTTTTTCAAATTTCTTCTATTACAGCGTTTGAGTTTTTTCTTTTTTCCTAATTTCTTTTTCATTTTCTTCTTCTTCTTCTCGTTTCTTTTACCCCTTATATTGCAAGAGAGAGTGAGCGAGTAAGTGAGAATCTTTCGATTTGGGGGAGAAAGAGAGCGATATCGGTTGTTCTGGGTTTTGCTGAAGGATCTCTCTTTCTCTCCTTTGTTTGATCTATCAAACTTCTTAAAGAGTGATTCTCTAGATCGGAATTGAATTGACTTCGAAAAGGTGAAATCTTTTTTCTTGGGTTTTCGTTATTAAGGGTTAGGGTTTGTTGTTCTTGATTGGATCTAAAAAGGGTTTTGATTGTCAAATTCAAAGTCAAGATTTTTCCTCTTTTTTTTCCAATTTATTTTTTAAAAAGACAATGCTTTTAAAGTTTGTGTTTTGATTTAATTATCCAGTGAAGATTGAAGATGGGTAGATCAGATGAGAACAGCGTTGGACTAATTGGATCAACGAATCTACAAGGTATTCTTTAATCTAACCACTTTTTAATCAAAAATCAAATCTACACCTTGAAACTGAGATTTAAATGATTTTGCAGGCGGAGGAGGAAAGATCATGCCGGCGGGGAATACTGGTCCGACAAGAAGACCACTCAGTGCAATTAACAAGAACATCAATGAGCCTTTGTCTTACCCTTATGCTGTTAACAACAAGAGATCACTTTCTGAGTAAGTGTGTTCACTGAGATGTATCCTCAGATTTGTCTTTTGAATTAGGAATCTAATGTTTGGTTTATTTCCGCAGAAGGAATGCAATCTGTAACAAACCGCCTCCGCATCGACCAGTTACTAGGTACATTAGATCTTCTTTCTTGTCTACTTCTTGAAGTGACTCACATTGTGTCTGGTTAATGAGTTATTACCACTCTCTGTTGGTTCAGGAAGTTTGCTGCTCAATTAGCTGTTAACAAGCCACAACTGCAGGAAGAGGTACTTAATAGCGACACTATCTAATGTGTGTTTCAGTTAGAACAGTGACCATAGACCAGGCTTTTTTAATTACATTCTCTTTTAATTTTAGGAAACTAAGAAGCCAGACTCGGTTCCAAGTGAAGAAGCAGAGAGGGTTAACGAAGGAGAGGACTTTGATGAGCCAATGTTTGTACAACACACCCAAGCAATGATGGAGGAGATTGAAATGGAAGATGCAGATGATCAAGAAGAAGAAGAAGAGCGAGTGATCAATATTGACGCTTGTGATGAGAACAATCATTTAGCTGTAGTTGAATATATCAACGATATATACGACTTCTTCAAGAAATCTGAGGTGACTTTGGTGTTTTTAACACCAAAAGTTTGATGTTCTTTATCATCAATAAGCTTCAAAGTTACAAGATCCTAAGTTTTATGTTTGATCGGTTCTTATGATTGTGCAGGAGCTTAGTTGCGTGCCTCCTAACTACATGGACAACCAGCAAGATCTTAATGAGAGGATGAGAGGAATCCTCATTGACTGGTTGATCGAGGTACATAGATCCAGATCACAAATGCATTTTAAGTTCATTGTTGTTGGTGTTATTAAATGTGCATGATGATGAATTTACTTGAAATTTTTGGGAGCAGGTGCACTACAAGTTTGAACTGATGGAGGAAACACTTTATCTCACAATCAATGTCATCGATAGATTCCTTGCGGTTCATCAAATCGTGAGGAAAAAGCTTCAGCTTGTTGGTGTAACCGCTTTGTTGCTAGCTTGCAAGTACGAGGAAGTCTCAGTTCCAGTAATAGATGATCTCATCTTGATCTCTGATAAGGCTTACACTAGAAGAGAAGTACTGGACATGGTGTGTATATCATATCTCTCTTCATCATTAATCCAAATATGGTGTGAGTTTCAGTTTCAGTTGATATTTTTCTGCTTTCTGTTGCAGGAGAAGCTAATGGCCAACACTTTGCAATTCAATTTCTCTTTGCCTACTCCGTATGTGTTCATGAGACGGTTTCTTAAAGCTGCTCAATCTGATAAAAAGGTAGCTTGAATCTTTTTGTAAGGAAGGAAGCCATCTGGTCTTTTTATATCTAAAAGTTGTGTGATATGATTTTATGGTTTCAGCTTGAGGTTCTTTCGTTTTTCATCATCGAGCTCAGTCTCGTGGAGTATGAGATGCTGGAGTATACTCCATCTAAGCTAGCAGCCTCGGCAATCTACACTGCTCAGTGTACACTTGATGGATTTGAGGAATGGAGCAAAACATGTGAGTTTCACACAGGCTACAAGGAAGAAGAGCTACTGTAAGGATCACAAGTCATGAACATACGTTTGAAATGTAGTTTCAAAACCGATAAGAGATCATTCTTATTTCTTAGTGTTTACTGGATTTTGATTTTGTTTACAGGGAATGCGCAAGGAAGATGGTTGGTTTCCATCACAAGGCAGGAACAGGGAAGCTAACAGGAGTTCACAGGAAGTACAACACATCAAAGTTCTCTTATGCTGCAAGAACTGAACCAGCTGGTTTTCTACTTTAATGGAAGGAAAAAAAACTATAGTAATAAGATTGAATGACACAGAATCTAAATATGAGATGTACACCTTTTGGTTGGGTTCTCTTTCCAAGGTTCTCTAGATCTTTCTTTACTTAAGAGAGAATAAAAAGATAACAATATTTCTTTTTTTATACCATGCTTTATATAACATTCAATTTGTGAAGGAATCAATCACCTTTAAACTTACATGTATAGAATTGTTGTAAAGCCCTCTGGGATATCATATTGGTAAATCCAACTCAAGAACGTCTCAAACATTCTGCATGTCTCACAGATTCATTCAGTCACTGTCATCTACTTGTTATGTGCATTATCTAGTTTCAATTTAGCTTAAAATTGTCTTGTTTACAAGTTACAATCAATTGGGTTAAAGCATGTGCGTTGTTTTTATTTATTCATCTACTGCCAGAAAATGGAGGAGAAAAAACATATCATCAGAAAAACTTGTCAATGTTTTAATTAGTACCCCAAAATACAGAACTAACAGTGCATCTGGACATATCTCGCTTGTTTGCCTAGAGAAAAACATTGGTTTTACAAGTGAACCTTACACCAAAACATAACAAAGACAAGAGAGGCTGGTTTTGTCTTAGAATCGAAGCTTACATGTTAAAGCATAGATGTAATCATCTCCTTACAGGTGGTACCGCTCCCCTTCCACCAGTTCCACGCCCAGTAGCCGGAGCCTTTATCATGGATCCAACAATTAGTAATGGCAAAGAAAAAAAAACAAGCATTAAGGACAAACAAGGACTTCATCAGATTTCCTAACAATGGTGTCTTGAGAGTTAATTGATGAAGTAAGTAGTTTGCAGAGAGAGAGAGAGAGAGATAACTCACATTTCCTCGTATTGCAGCTCTACCTCTACCAACACCCAGTGATCCGCTCTTTCCCTGCATCAAGCAAGTGAGCAAGACAGGTATTATGTATATTGAAGATATACATAGAGACTCTAATAACATCATCCAGGGTAGGTTCAAACCTTGATTCTAGCATCTAAGCGCTTGAACATGGGAGCATGCTTGAGAATGTCAGGTATGACCATAAACCTGTCAAGATCTCTCCCTAGGTCAAAACACTAGTAATAAAATGATCCCATGAATTACAGGAAACAAGCACGAGTCAAAAGAATTGTTCACAGCACCTGACTTTGCTGCCTCGAATGAAGACATGCTCAAGCTGTGACACCTTACCATCCTGTGTGACACAACATTGCAAAAATCCACAACAAAAGTTGAGTAACAATTAACAAACAAACCAATTTATTAACTCATTAGTACCAATTCCTAGTCAAATCTAGGGTTTTCACATCAATTAACAATGAAAGAGAGCAACAAAATCAATGACATTTTTTTTTTAAAAAAGATGTAAAATCTAATGGATCGATTAAAATTTGAGGTAAGAGGTGAATTGACCTGAGCGGTAAAGGTAATGTCTTCGAGCTGACAGTTCCAGTTATCCTCACACTCTATCATGCTTCCTCTGTATAGCTCACCGTTCTTTAGCTCCACCGTCACTATATGACCTGACGCCTCGTGGAGAAGCTTAACCGGTATTCCCAAACTTCGGCTCATCGCTCTGTTAAACCCTAATTGAGCAGACCTTCCCTTTCACACTCTGTTAACCAAAACAAAACAAAACAAAACAAAAATGGCGGAGGGAACCCGAAGGAGAGAGAGAGGGATTAGTTAGTTTTAATGATCTTCAGATTTATATTGGGCCTTATATTAAGCCCATTAATCATTTTAGTCCTTACTTTTTCTATGATGTTTAAGGATATGTTGATTTTGAGATCATTGTTGTGGATGATGGGGACCTGACGGAAGACAAGAGATTGTCAAGCAACTTCAGCACTTTTATGTCAGTACGGTGACGAGGTAATATGTAATTTATTGTGCTTTTGTATCCTTCGGTTTAGGTTAACTCGTGTTTGTCTTTGTGTTTTGAGGCAGCTTTTAAGAGCTAGCTAGAGCCAAGAAGCTTGGTTTGGGTATGAGTCTCTCTTTATACTCTTGACATTTGAACACTGGTTATGTCTTTTAGAAACTTCACTTTAGCTTTGATTACAGAGACAAAGTTGTGCATTATATAAAGACTTGAAAAAGGTTCATCATCATATCATAGACGGTATTCGTTTTGAGTGTTGAGTTTGGGATTTATTACATTTGATAAAATCCTTAACGAACCAAACTAGAAGGTTACTTATGGACCAAGTTTTTCTAAGTGCCGCTTGCGGCTTGCATGTGATAGTTTCGTAAACTTGGCATACTCGAAGTATTCACTAATCAAGATTAGATTATATACTCGAACAATAATCAAGATTTGGGAAATATGTATACTTGTAAATGAATAATTAGATTTATGCTCGAACGACAGATCAAAATAGATGGAAACTTGGGAGTCACTTCGAATATATCAGGTGCTATACTGTTTACAAGAATCTGCTTCGAATTTGCTTGTCTAATAATCAAGATTTGGGGAATGTTGTAATATTCAATAACATTTAGCATCCTTGATCAATATCTTTCTGCACGTGCATACATATTTCTATATAATTTTAAACCTGCAGTCACAGGTGAATTTAAAACATACATTGCTGAAATTTTAAATCTTATGACATTATTAAACCGACAGTACTGGACTGCAATACAAATAAAACGGTTGAACATCTCATATGTAATATATATAAATAATTCTTTATGATATTGATACCTGACACTTCAGATGATTACAAATTTACATTGGCTGGCTTGGTTCATGCATGATTTCCTGAAAAAGCTACTCGATTATAATTTACAATTATTAAAATAGTAATTTTGTTTTGTTGTGTAGACAAGCGTATCTGATTAAATCCATAACGCAGCTTAATCCGGTGCTAAACGGAAGGTTCCTTACTACACCAAACTTCAACTAGTTTGAAAATATAACCTAAAATGACCTGTTATGTCTTCACATCCGTACAAAAGAACACCTCTAGGTTCCTTCCTCGTACTTTCCTCATCATTCTCAGATCTGCCTCCACTCCAATCTATCCATTACATATATATTCAGCCTCCTAACAATTATCAGTAAACCCTAATCACAAACCTATATTCTCTTTGAATTCCCTCACTTTTTTTCTTGTGAATCAAGCAATACCCTGTTTAGGTTTCAATCAAATGGCGCAAATGGACTTAGAAGGTTTGAGAGAGTTACAAGACTGCGCAAACTACCTCCTCGATCACTGTCCAGAAGCAAGAGAGTCTCTGTGTCAACAAGGGAAAGAGAAATGGATCGAGCAAGTCTCTGAAGCTTCAGTAACAATGCTAGACGTCTGCAACGTGTCGAAAGATGTCATGACACTCGTGAGACATAGCCTGAAAGAGCTTCAACTGACTCTACGCTGCAACGAATCAAACATGCACGTGAAGATCGCAGCGTATAACAGGCACAGGAACAAGCTCAAGAAGGAGACACTCAAGTGCTTGAACACTCTAAAGAGTATTCAAGGAGGAGGAAGAGGGACGATGGTGATGCAGATGATTGAGCAGAACCTTCTGTTCGTTGCAGAGGTTTTGAAAGAAGTGAGGAGAGCTATTGTGAGTATGGTTGAGTCTCTGTTCTCGCTTGTGTGCATTCCTTGGCTCGAGAGAAAACAGAGGAGAAGGTCAATAATGTCTTCAATGTTTACGATGCGGTTTTGCTGTTGGGATGATGTGTGGGATGAAGTAGCGGTGCAGAGTGCGAGTACAAGGTTGGAGGCTGCACAGATCGCTGTTGAGGAGCTTGAGATTGAATTGGGGTGTATTTTCCGGCGACTGATACAGACCAGAGTTTCACTTCTTAATATTATTACAGCTAAGATGTCTCCTGTTTGATTCCACTTGGCAAACAAAAACTATAAATGCCTGTAAAAATTAGAATAATTAGAAATACATAGACATTTTCATCTTATAAAGTTGTGAACATAAATCAATTCAGAAAACAACACACACACATTATTACAAGTGGGTGTTAGTGGAGCTGAATTTATAATGATTATTAAAAATTTCAAATTTTATTGTTATTACTTTATAGATTTCGAATAATTATTGATTGATGATTGTTTAAATATTCAAAACTCTTTATAACTTTTTCCTAATTTAATGAATTTATCAACTCTTATAAAATCAATAAACTCTACCCAAATTCAGTTCCATAATAACTTTTTTCAAGTTCCCCAAGTATATAAAATGGCGCTAAAGTTTGTTGAAAAAGACCCAGGCCCATTATATGGCCCATGTAATCATAAAACCGTCCACGCTTTGTTAAGTTTTTCTCTTTTAAAAAAAAAACATAACTTTCACGTGCCACCAACGAACTAAAAATATCGCGGAATAAAAACACGATGGTGGTCGGAGTTGTTTATAGTAGTCAAACTTTCCTGCTCAGACAATCATCTTTAAAAGTATAGTTAAAAGCTACAGAGAAACACATCCTCCACAGCCAGGGCCGGGCTTTGGCATAAGCTGGTGAAGCCATCGCTTAGAGCAGCAAATTTTAAGGGGCATATTTTAGTTTTTTTTTTTTTTTTAATTTTTAAAGTTGCTAAAATAATACTTATTACTTATAGGCATAATTAATCACAATAATCTTTGTCGGGTCTTTTAATAATATCTATAAACTGTTTATTAAGAAATATAGTAGTTTAATTTATTATTAAATAGTTATTAGTAAATTTTTATTTTAAATCATTATCAAAAGGAAACCCTAATAAAAACTAAATCACTACGCAGTTTTTCTTTTTTTTTTTCTCCTTCTCCTCTGTTCCATCGTGCCCCCAATTTAGTTTATATTGCTTGAACTTCAGTTCATCGATCATAGTATTTTTATTGACAAGACATATTAGGTATGTGACTTATTTATTGTTTTTGCTGTCTATGTGTTAAGTCACTGTTAACCAAACTTAGCGATAGTCAATAATTCATAAAATATTGCAGTAAAAATTAATGATAGTTTATTGTTAACTGGTCACTGGATCATGTTTGTTTTGAATTTTTATTTCTTTGTTTGTCCAGGTTAAGAGAATATGCCACCATCACGAATAAGAAAAAAGAATCCATGTGGAATTAAGAAAAATCAGCCATCGGAAGCTGAAAACAAAAGTAAGAAGAATAAACAAGAAGCATACTTGAAGTCAATAGAAGATTCTATGTTCAGGTATGTCAAAAAAATTAATACTTAATCTGAGAGTTCTTCTGCGCAAATTAACGAAGACAAAGACAAAGATGAAGATGTCGAGGATAATGGTCAGAATAGTGAGCTTGAGAATTCAGATGAATGTGAAGAGACCCATCAAGATAAGAGTGAAAACCAAGATGAAGAGAAGGAACAAGAGAAAGATATTTTTGATCCAGGAAACTAGGAACACATTGATACAAGATTCAGAGATTTGTTGGTTAAGAAGGGCCCTATGATAAGACTATCAAGTCACTACCAGTTTCCTAAAGACAATATTGGTAGGCCTTTTTCACATTCATTCTACACGAGAGATATGGTTAACTGAGAAAAAAAAGATAGGCAATGGTTGATATATTCAAAAGCTTTGGATAAAGCTTTTTGTTTTTGGTGCAAGTTGCTCAGACATGAAAGTAGTGGTGGTAACTTGGTAACCACATGATATAAGGACTGGAGAAACTTTGCAAAAAGGCTGAAAGAACACGAAGTTTCTCATGATCATGTGATATGCATGACACGTTGGAAAGAGTTGGAGTTGAGATTACAAAAAAATCAGACAATTGATAAGCATGCTGAAGAAGAATTGAACAAGGAGAAAAATCATTGGAGAGAAGTATTGTTGAGAATATTTGCAGTGGTGAAAACTCTAGCTCAAAGAAATTTGGCATTTCGTGGGGATAATGAAAAACTTGGTGAAGCAAGTAATGGAAATTTTTTGGGTCTTATTGAGATGATTGCTGAGTGTGATACAGTATTGAGAGAGCATGTTAGGCGAATTGAGAAAAAAGAAATCTATGTGTATTATCTTAGTCACAAGATTCAGAATGAAATGATTGAAATGCTTGTTAAGGAGATCAATGTTATGATCAAAAGAAGATTCATGATTCAAAGTATTTCTCCATAATTCTTGATTGTACTCCAGATATTAGTCACAAAGAGCAAATGACTTTGGTTATTCGATGTGTGGATGTTTCTACAATGTCAACCAAAGTCGATGAATTCTTTTTGACATTTTTGATTGTCAAAGATAAATCAGGAGAAGGGCTTTTTACTTCACTCCAAGATGCATTGGTTGAGCTAGAGTTAGATATTGGTGATGTGAGAGGACAAAGATATGACAATGGATCTAATATAAACGAAAGAATAAAGGAGTCCAGAATAGGTTGTTAGAAATTAATCCAAGGGCATTCTTCACACCATGTGGTTGCCATAGTCTCAACCTTGTGCTATGTGATATAGCAACTTCTTCTTCAAAAGCTGTGTCCTTTTTTGGAATCGTTCAACGAATATATTGCTTATTTGCTTCTTCAACAAACAGATGGGACATATTGACAAGCACTGTTAAAGGATTAACCCTTAAATCTTTGTCTCAGACACGTTGGGAAAGTCATGTTGAAAGTGTCAAAGCAATACGATTTCAAGCTTCAGAAATTAGAGAAGCATTACTTTGCTTGGCTGAAAGTACTGATGACCCAGCAACACGAAGTAGTGCTGAATCACTTGCTTTAAGTGAAACACATGGAATTGGAGGTTTTGAGTTTTTGTTTGGCATGGTTGTTTGGTATGACCTTCTTTTGGTTGTCAACACTGTAAGCAAGAGCTTGTAATCATAAAATATTGATATTGATGCTGCGATTCACCATCTGAAAGGTCTTGTGTCATATTTTCAAAAATACCGGGAGACAGGATTTGAGGAAGCAAAAATTAAGGATGGACAAATTGCAGTTGATATGGAGATAGAAGCTGGATTTCCTGTGAAACAAAAGCGTATTATAAGGAGAAAAAAAGCACTATGATGAAGATACAGAGATAGTTGATGAGAATATGTTACTATCACCAGAGGAGAGTTTCAGGATTAATTACTTCAACACACTCATGAACCAAGCTCTAGTTTCTCTTGAGTCAAGGTTTGAACAATTCCAAAGGTATGAACAAACTTTTGGATTTTTGTTTGATTTAAAAAAATTAACAGCTGCAAGTGAAGATACTTTGAGGACATCATGTTTAAATCTAGAAGCTTCGTTGACGAATGGTATGCATTCAGATATAGTTGGTGATGATTTATTTATGGAGTTAAAGATTCTCCGAGAATCAATACTAGAGGAAGTTCGAAAGCCTATTGAGGTACTTGATTTTTTTGAAGAAAATGGAGGATTGCTATCCAAACACAGAAATTGCTTATCGCATATTGTTGATAATTGCGGTATCGGTTGCAACAGTTGAAAGAAGTTTTTCGAAGTTAAAACTGATAAAGAACTATTTGCGGTCTACCATGTCACAAGAGAGATTAAATGGGCTGACTTTGTTATCAATTGAGACTGCTATGGTTGAAAGACTTGACTACATGAGTTTAATGAATGATTTCGCAGGAAAAAATGAAAGAAGATCAATATTTCAGTAACAAGTATCTTTGATTTTATTGTTTTTGTTTTTTACAACATTTTTGATATTTGCTTGTTTTATGGAAGTTTAATTTTTTATTACTCTTATTATATAACTTTGAATTATATATAAGGGAATAGTTGTTTGACAAAAAAAATATAAGGGCATAGTTTTTTGAATTGGCTTGGGGCATTATAAGATGTTGGACCGACACTGTCCACAGCAAAAAAAAAAGAGAGAAATGTCTTCGGTTGATTCTCGAAGTGGTTTCTGCGATTCGAACTCAACTTTCTACAGCCAACGAACTCCAATCCCTCTCCCACCGAATCCATCTCTCGACGTCACAACTTTCATATCTTCCCAAGCCCATCGCGGCCGCACCGCCTTCATCGACGCCTCCACGGGTAAAAGCCTCACCTTCACCGAGCTATGGCGCGCCGTGGAGTCCGTCGCCGACTGTCTCTCCGACATGGGGATCCGCAAGGGCCACGTCGTCCTCCTACTCTCCCCTAACTCCATCCTCTTCCCCGTCGTCTGCCTCTCCGTGATGTCCCTCGGCGCCGTCATCACCACCACTAACCCTCTCAACACCGCCGCCGAGATCGCTAAACAGGTCAAAGACTCCAACCCCGTCCTCGCCTTCACCACCTCGCAGCTCCTCCCCAAAATCGCCGCCGCGGCGTCGCTCCCGATCGTGCTCATGGACGAGGAGCGAGTTGACTCGGAGGTGAAGAGGTTAGTGGAGATGATGAGGAGGGAGCCGAGTGGGAGGAGACGAGTTTTCGAGCGAGTTGATCAAGACGACACGGCGACTCTGCTCTACTCTTCCGGGACCACGGGGATGAGCAAAGGAGTTGTCTCTTCTCACCGTAACTTGATCGCGATGGTGCAGACAATAGTGAACCGGTTCGGATCCGACAACGTGTCTCAGGGAGAGCAGAGATTCATCTGCACTGTCCCTATGTTCCACATCTACGGGTTAGCAGCGTTCGCCACGGGGCTGCTCGCTTACGGCTCCACGATCGTGGTTCTCTCCAAGTTCGAGATGCATGAGATGTTGTCGGCGATAGGGAAGTACCGAGCGACGTATCTTCCTCTCGTGCCACCGATTCTTGTGGCTATGGTCAATGGGGCGGAGCAGATTAATGCCAAGTATGATCTGAGCTCTTTGCATACGGTTTTGTGTGGAGGAGCGCCGTTGAGTAAGGAAGTGACGGAGGGGTTTATGGAGAAGTATCCGACGGTTAAGATCTTGCAAGGGTATGGGTTGACTGAGTCAACGGGTATAGGAGCCTCTACGGATACTGTTGAGGAGAGTAGGAGGTACGGTACGGCGGGGAGATTGTCGGCGAGTATGGAGGGGAGGATTGTTGATCCGGTTACGGGTAAGGTTCTTGGACCGAAATGTACCGGTGAGCTTTGGCTTAAGGGTCCTTCTATAATGAAAGGTACTTTATTGTAGTTTTTATGTCGGATATCATCAAAATTGGAGTTTTCTTACCATTTTTGGGTGTTGTTGTTGACAGGTTATTTCAGTAATGAGGAAGCTACGAGCTCTACTCTTGATTCTGAAGGATGGTTAAGGACTGGAGATCTCTGCTATATTGATGAAGATGGATTCATATTTGTGGTTGATCGGTTAAAGGAACTCATTAAGTACAAAGGCTACCAGGTAACATATTCATCACAGAGCCATGATCCGTATTGTTGGTATAGAATGTAGTCCTTATGGAGCTTAGTGAAATGCTGATGGACTAACCATTCATTTTTGTTGTAGTAATGTGTTTGGTTTTTGATTAAATTGCTAGAAAAATGACCTGTTTGTTCTGTTGAAACAATTAGTATCTGAGCCCTGATATTATGCTTTTGTGTATATGCTAAGCTTCTCGAGAAATCTTGCTAAACTTGTGTTTGGGATCATTGCATAGGTTCCTCCAGCTGAGCTAGAGGCTTTGTTGCTCACTCATCCTGAAATCTCTGATGCTGCAGTTATCCCGTAAGTCACAACAACATCACCTACTTTTAGTATGTGTTTTAACCACAGAAACAGTATTTGAGTTTATAATGTTTTGGGGATTTACAGGTTTCCGGACAGAGAAGTAGGGCAGTTTCCGATGGCGTATGTTGTAAGGAAAACAGGAAGCTTGTTATCAGAGAAGTCAGTGATGGAGTTTGTAGCAAAACAAGTGGCTCCGTACAAGAGGGTACGAAAGGTGGCTTTCGTGTCATCCATACCAAAAAATCCATCAGGAAAGATTCTGCGCAAGGATCTCATCAAACTCTCAACTTCCAACTCCAAGCTTTGAATGCTGTGAGCCAATCTCCTTGCATTACTGTTACTTGTGTTGTAGTAACTCTTGTCAGTTCTGTGATTTATATTACCCTGAGGTCTCAAACACACAGAAGATGATTTACACATAAATAATATGGAGAATAATGTTGTTTATTTTAAATATAGAGCCTACTTTCAAACCATGTTTATCATTAAATACTAGACTACACCTAATAGTGTTGCCTGATTCATTGTCAGGGAATTCTTGGTTTTATTCTGGCAATTTCACGTTTTTTGTATGGGGCATCATGTAGTTTTGGTAAATGGTAATAGAAGTTCTTTAACATGGGAAAATGAACAAACTGGAACTACACTTACAATCGCCGAGGTCTTGGTTTTGGTATCTATATATACTAGCATTAGTTTGGTTTTTAAGAGTATAAATGTATATTCAGAGGGGCATACCTTAGAATACTTGAATGTAAACGTACCGTCTAGAAAAGTAGTCTAACCTGATTAAAAGAGACCACCTCCACTCAAAGATTTGTCTTAGTTCTTGGGGTATTCTTTGAGATGACTCTTGCAGTATCTACGGTCGGGTTTGGAAGATTCACTATCACTCCTTTAATGAATATGGTATCAACTCTGTGTTCTTGTGGACATGCACACTTTGGTAGGATCTTTTCGATTGGCTCGCTGCCCTGCATAGCTCTTCCCCGGCTTCTTCCTTTTGCTGCATAGCTCTTCCCCGGCTTCTTCCTTTTGCTGTCTTGCACCTTAAACCCCGGAAGTTTTCTTCAGATGCATTTAACACTTCATCGCAAACCGGTTTGGCAAGTCCAGGTTTGGTAGTTCATCAAAGACTATGGTTCAGCATCTTTTTTTTTTGTTCAACCAACCAGTAAATTTTTTTCCATTAGTGCACCCTTTTTAGATAGCTTTATATGTTAATAACAATCTCAGGGCTGCATCATCCATGTACACACCTGAAGAAAATGGCAGCTTCTGAAAGATCATCTTCATCTCCAATCCATCCCAGAAACGGTTTTTGCAATGCAAACTCCACATTCTACATCAAACGCAACCCATTGCCATTTCCACCAAACTCTTCCCTCGACGTCACCACATTCATCTCCTCTCAAGCTCACCACGGCACCACCGCCTTCATCGACGCCGCCACAGGCCACCGTATAAGCTTCTCCGTTCTCTGGAGAGCAGTAGATAACGTAGCCGACTGCCTCCATCACGACATGGGAATAAGGAGAGGCGACATAGTACTCATCCTCTCTCCCAACTCCATCTCCATCCCTCTCGTTTGCCTCTCCATCATGTCACTCGGCGCCGAAGTCACCACCGCCTCAGAAATCTCCAGACAGGTCGCAGACTGCAATCCAAAGGGTTGTGGATCCGGATACGGGTCGGGTAATGGGTATGAACCAAACGGGCGAGCTTTGGCTCAAAGGTCCCGCCATTACAAAAGGATAAATAAAAATACATTACCGTGTGAAACAAGGAATTCAGATTAATTTAACTTTTATATTTTAAAAGGTTATTTTGGAAACGAAGAAGCTACAAAAGAAACTATTAATTCAGAAGGGTGGCTAAAAACTGGAGATCTCTGGTGCATTGACGATGAAGGATTTGTTTTTATATTGGATAGATTGAAATAGTTAATCAAATACAAAGCTTACCAGGTTATTGATTGGTTATGTCAAAATTATGAATGTTTGTGTATATTCGAACATCCTCTTTCTAGACCTCTGGACTAGAAAAGCATTTAACCATCGGCTATTTATTTGGGTGATCATACGTATAGGTCCCTCCAGCTGAACTAGAAGGTTTGCTGCTCACTCATCCTGAAATCTTTGACGCTGCAGTGATCCCGTAAGTGACAACAACAATAACACTATGAAGTCTTTTTTGTACCAGAAACAATCTTGAGTTGATAACACTGATTTAATTAAATAAGAAGAGTTAGTTGAGGGCATTAAGAGCACCGTCAACCACTTGCTGTCCTGATGCATTCAAAGCATCTTTGGCTAATACATCTGCAAAGGTGTTCCTCTCCTGAGGGATCCACACAAAACAAATAAAATCAAAAATATAAGCTATAACGTCTGTGACAATGCATGAAGTTCCGGAGTTCCCGAACCCCGAGTTAACTATTTTGATCAGCTGAGAATAATCCGACTCAAACCGTACCAACTTCATCATCAATCTTTGACATGTAAAAACTGTTTCACATAATGCTAGTGCTTCAGCCATAAGCGAGGAAGGCACAAACTCCACTTGCTCCTTGAATGGCACGTTATGTGGGTTGGAAAGAAGAATCCAACCTAGTCCCGCAGCCTGTCGACTTGCATCCCTCGCCGCATCCAGAATATGTTTTCTTTTTTGTTCTCTTTCCTTCTGTTTAAATTGTTTCACTTTTTCAATAATTAGATACCATGATAGAACATGGGGTTGCCCTGGTCCTTTTGTTTTTCTGAAGAGAGACCTAATCATCTACCGATACTGAATGTTTGCTTGTTATTTATGTCTCTATATTCAAAATAGTGTAAACATAAACACATGAGTTATAAAGCTTGTGTACGGCAAATCCTAACAACATGGCTAGATTTAAGACCATATTATATAGCCAAACCTAAAACTGGTGATTCTGTATAAGAACATCTCCAAAATGACTATCTATTTTAAAGTTTTCAAAAATTTATATTTGAAGTTTAAAAGTGTCTTTTTCAAAATTGAAACTCCAAAATCAAAACTTCAAAACTATTTATATTTTATATTATTGTCCTTATATTTTCATAAATTTCTTATAAATAACTAATACATATATAAAAATTATTACAGAAATATTAATTCTTAAATATTTTGTTATTTATCGTTTAATCCTTATAAATTATTATCTCATAAAATTTCTAATTTTTTATTATAAATTTAAATTTTATACATAATCTTTTAAAAAAAAAAACTTTAAGATAAGATAGAAAATATATTAAAGCTAGAACTAAACAACAACAATATTACAAAACTTAATGTAGTATTTTATTTGTAGTTTAGTATTTAATTATATATTTATATTTATAATTTTCTATTTAATGTAATTTTGTAAGGACTAAAATGCAAATAAAAATATGAAACTTTAAATTTGAAGTTTTGAGTAATGAAACTCTATATTTGAAATTTTTCTATTCAAAATATTGTAAAGTTTTTTTTAGAGAATAAAAAAATTCATATTTAAAATTATAGAATATTTTTTGGAGATGTTCTAATATGATTATACAGAGAATCCTAAGTAATCCTAAGTACGTATATGATGTAACATGTATCTGATTATTTGTCGGGGAATTCTTTGATATGCACACGCATAATCACGTTATTTGCACGGACACATTGTTGTAGTTTGGTTAATTGCTTGTATATAACTTCTTTAGCTTCGAAACAAAATTAAACTGGAAGTACACTTAATTTGTTTTTGGTGTAATTACTAGTACTACTTTCAGTGGCAGAGCTAGATCTAGGTACGATGGAGGTCATAATTCATTTATTATAGACAAAAGATGCTCACATGGGTCAATTGACCACCCTCCCTCCAATACACTATGCTCATGACATTGTCTTCTAAACATTACCCGCGATTTTCAACTAAACATTTGGTTCTGAACAAGTAGTGTCTAGGTAAGAGACGCTGAGCTGTTAAGTTCACAGCACGTGTCAACTTAAGTTCCATAATATAAATACTTTGACAATCTCAGAGCTGTGCATCCATCTAAACTAGATGATCTAAATCCCCACCTAAAGAAAAATGACAAGCACCAATATAAGATCATCATCATCATCTCTCATCGATCCAAGAAGTGGTTTCTGCAATGCAAACGCAACGTTTTACAGTAAACGCAACCCATTGCTACTTCCAGCCAACACCTCACTCGACGTCACCACTTTCATCTCCTCTCAACCTCACCGCGGCACAACAGCCTTCATAGACGCCGCCACGGGCCACCGCATAAGCTTCTCCGAACTCTGGACAGCCGTGAACCGTGTTGCGGACTGTCTCCACCACGACGTTGGAGTAAGAAGAGGCGACGTCGTACTCATCCTATCTCCCAACTCCCTCTCCATCCCCATCGTCTGCCTCTCCGTCTTGTCTCTCGGCGCCGTCGTCACCACCGCGAATCCTCTCAACACCGCCGGTGAGATCGCCAGACAGATGGCAGACAGTAACCCGGTTTTCGCCTTCACAACGCCTGAGCTGGCTCAAAAACTCGCCGGTTCAGGTATCTCCGTTGTCCTCGAGAGAGTGGGGCCCACTTCCGGAGTCAGAGTAGTTGGTTATGTGAGGGAAATGATGAATATGGAACCGAGTAGTGGGACCCGAGTTAGAGACCGAGTTAACCACGACGACACGGCGATGCTTCTATACTCATCCGGAACCACAGGGAGAAGCAAAGGAGTGATAACCTCTCACGGGAACTTAATAGCACACGTGGCGAGATACATCGCTGAGCCATGGCAGCCAGACCAGACCTTCCTCTGCACAGTTCCGATGTTCCACACGTTCGGATTGCTCAATTTCGTTATAGCCACCGTAGCGTTGGGTTCAACGGTTGTGATCCTCCCTAGGTTCAAGCTCCAGGAGATGGTGGCGGCAGCCGAGAAGTACAGAGCTACGTCTCTGATTCTGGTGCCGCCCATTTTGGTAGCTATGATCAACGGCTCAGATGCGATCAAGGCCAAGTACGATCTTAGTTCTGTCAGAACGGTTAGATGTGGGGGTGCCCCCTTGAGCAAGGAAGTTACTGAAGGGTTTTTAGAGGCATATCCAACGGTTGATATTTTTCAAGGGTATGCTTTGACTGAATCTAACGGTGCTGGAGCTTCGGTGGATACGGTGGAGGAGAGTCGGAGATACGGTGCGGCGGGGAGGTTGTCGTCCGGGGTGGAAGCGAGGATTGTGGATCTTGATACGGGTCGGATCATGGGTGTGAACCAAACGGGTGAGCTTTGGCTCAAAGGACCTTCTATTGCTAGAGGTAAAAAATAAATGTTACATATTCAAACTAGTAAAAAGCATAGTTTTCATAACAAACCTCTATATATGTATATACTTGTGGACAAAGGTTATTTTAGGAACGAAGAAGCTACAAAAGAAACTATCAATTCAGAAGGATGGCTTAAAACGGGAGATCTTTGCTATATTGATGATGATGGATTTGTTTTTATTGTTGATCGACTTAAAGAGCTAATCAAATACAAAGGTTATCAGGTTAGTACAATCTTTGATTATAGATTGGTTAACAAATAACAAAAATTTGACAAGCAAAATCTAAACACACTTTTGGATTGAATAATAGGTTCCTCCAGCTGAACTAGAGGCTCTTCTATTAAGCCACCCGGATATTCTTGATGCAGCAGTTATTCCGTAAAGTCTTATAATCACTATTTGTTTGTGCAATTCTTTTTTTTTTCTATTTTATTCTTTGGACTAGTTTAAAGTATTGCAAAGATTTTCAGATAAAAACCATCTTGTTGTCTTCGTCTGTTACAAAGGATTCCTGACAAAGAAGCAGGCCAATGTCCAATGGCTTTCGTGCAATGCAAGCCTGAGAGCCATCTTTCTAAGAAACAAGTTATTGACTTCATCTCTAAACAGGTTCTCTATTCTATAATCACAATAATAGCTCATTTAGTTATATAACAATTTTCACATTTATTTCCAAGTTCAGTAACTTGGATGAAAAATATTTGATGTAATTAACATTTATTAACAGGTGGCACCATATAAAAGAATAAGAAAGGTCGCATTTATAGACTCCGTACCAAAGACTGCATCCGGCAAAACACTTCGCAAAGATCTCATCTACCTAGCCACTTCTAAGCTTTAAGAAAATCACTACGTTCTCGCTTGTATGTGTATGGTTTTTCAACATTACAAGAGATAATAAAGTTGCTATAGATAAATTATTTCGGATGTTGCATATGGATATTATGTATGAATGAACATCCCTATATTGTAATATCGCTGGAGGCAAACATAGCTAAATCATCGATACTATTGTTAGTTGATATATACTTATCTACATATTAATTAACTTTTATCGCATGGATAATATCGTCATAATTGGAACATGTAAATACATTACAACAATGAAAGCTTGAACTATTTTTTTACCTGGGTAGGTTTGAAATAAATATTAAAATTTGAACTACTTTTCTACCTTGTTAAGTAAGTATTACATACAATAATCTAGGAAAAATGTTGAAACAAACAGCTATAGAATGGGGAATTTTTTAAAACAAAGAACTTCACAGAAAATATAACTGAAAGAAAACACGTTTAAAAATATATGTTGACTGATTATTTTTCATGAATTTCTGATTGACAATACAACAAATTATGAAAAATGTTGGAGCAAATTAAGTCGGAAAATAAAGGAGAATTTGGTTTGATTAAGTCTTTGTTTAATTAAGAATTTTGTGGGTCACGTCCTAAACTAGCAGAGTCAGTTTCCGAGTTTTATGCTTTAGCATAGTGTTTCAACTTGTTTGATAAAATAGAACAAGTTTTCAGCCTCAAAACAAGCAAATACTACAGCAACAAAAATATAATAAGTACTAATCAGAAATAGTAAGTGAAACTTCTTGTAGTGTATCTAGTTGATTGTCATACTCCAAGTAGTAATCACATCCCATTATTCTCCTTTCTTTTAAATTTGCACACCCCATACTTACTCTGAAGTAAGGTAGGGAATTCTTAGATAAAAAAACAATTTGATTGACTGCATAATCAGGTGCCTCCAGCCAGATTCCAGCTGATCTAGAAGCTCTCCTAATCATTCATCTAGACATTCTCGATGCCGCCGTTATTCCGTACGTACACTTTTTCAAACAGTAAAACAACATAATTGTTTCCCCTTTAAAACAGTAAAACAACATGAAGTTCTTTTTTTCTGTAAAGAAGCAAGACAATAACCAATGGTTACGTGACACGAGATCTTATTAAAGCAACCTCTCTGACAAACAAATTATTGACTTCATTCATCTTTTTACAGGTACTTTCTGATGTGATCACTAAAGCACACCCACCACCTATTCCTCAAAAGTACTTTGAAATGATCCTTTTAGTTGATTCTCACTTTTACTAGATGCTGCCCCTTTACTTTGTGTGGCTCAAATAACACTTGAAAATATCTAGCATTCAAGATTCATTTTAATTAACAAAATATTACAGTAATTTTATTTAGAGTGATTTAGCTCAAAATACCAAAAGAATTAGATATTTAGAGATTTGCCATATTTTAGGGGGAAAAAGTAGTGATGGGAGGAAGGAAAGAGAATAGAGAAATAGGGTATGAAACTAAATAAGGTGTTTTGTGTGTGTATGGAGTGCAAATACTCTTTTATTTATTTATTTATAGAGACTAAAGAATATGATTTTCTAGGTTATCACATTGAAAGTTTTCAAGTTACTATACTAAAGTTTTTAAGTTGTCATGATAAAGGATCAAATACAAATGAGTTATTTATCAGACCAAACTAACATTATATAACATCTGACCCTTAGAGCAACTACAGCAATGGATCATGGGAAAGTTCACACAATTCCCAAAAAAAAAAATTATTATAATAATGAATAGGGATGAACCCCAGCTCGTGCAGGTTGTCTCTGCTGAACCGGTTCACTGCTATTTTCGCGGGCCCCACGCCACGTGGTGACCCGCGATTGGTCCCTTACTTTTTTTTTTTTTTTTTTTAAAAAAAAAGGAAAAAGTCAGACGAAAAAAAAAAAAGAATAAAAAATTAAAACTATGAACCCCACTATGGGTTTATTGCTGTAGTTGCTCTTAGATCTAAAGTACATTTTGTGGTTTTAAATTAATCATGCTTTATTATCTTATTACAATGTTTTTGTTTTATTTATCTACTTTGTCATAATCTAAGATTGGGAAGCGCCCTTACGATACAACCAAGGTCGACCAGTGACTCAACGGTCAAACACGACGGCGATTCAAAAACCATGGCGTTAGATCGGAAAAGTGGTTTCTGCGAGTCAAACTCCATTTTCTACAGCAAACGTGACCCCTTGCTTCTCCCCCCGCCAAACCAACACCTCGACGTCACAACCTTCATCTCATCGCAGCCTCACGGCGGCACCACCGCCTTCGTCGACGCCGTCACCGGCCGTCGTCTCGGCTTCTCCGAGCTCTGGCTCGGCGTCAAGAGAGTCGCGTCTCGTCTCTATTCGTTAGGCGTTCGCAAGGGCAACGTCGTCATTATCCTCTCTCCGAACTCCATCCTCTACCCCGTCGTCTCCCTCGCCGTGATGTCTCTCGGCGCCGTCATAACCACGGCGAATCCGATAAGCACTTCCGGCGAAATCTCCAAGCAGGTCGCCGACTCGCTCCCCGTCCTCGCCTTCACCACCGGAAAACTCGTCTCGAAACTCGCCGCCGCGTCGGACGGGAGTCTCCCGGTGGTTCTCATGGACGAGCACAACGACGGAGTAAAAAATGCTCACGGAGTGAAGATCGTCGGGAGCTTGGAGGCGATGATGACGGAGAGTGAGCCGAGCGAGTCACGAGTCAGGGAACGAGTCAACCAGGAAGACACGGCGGCGTTGCTATACTCGTCAGGGACCACGGGGACAAGCAAGGGAGTAATGATAACACACCGTAACCTAATAGCTTTGGTACACACGTACCGGGTCCGGTTCGGTTTAGAGCAGCGAACCGTTTGTACGATCCCAATGTGTCACGTTTTCAGCTTCGGTGGTTTCGTGACGAGCTTCATCGCTTTAGGGTGGACGATTGTTGTTCTTCCCAAGTTCGTGATGTCTCAGCTTCTCTCCGCCGTGGAGACTCACCGTCCTACGCATCTTACTCTCGTCCCTCCGATGGTTGTAGCATTGGTTAACGGAGCTAAGGAGATAAACTCCAAGTACGACTTGAGCTCGTTGCACACTGTGGTAGCTGGAGGAGCTCCTCTGAGCAGAGAGGTGATTGAGAAGTTTGTTAAGAGTTATCCGAACGTTAGGGTTTTACAAGGTTATGGTTTGACCGAGACAACGGCTATAGTTGCTACTATGTTTACTAAAGAGGAGACAGAGAGGTATGGTTCGTCTGGTTTGCTTTCTCCGAATGTGGAGGTTAAGATTGTGGATCCGGATACGGGTCGGTTATTGGGTGTGGGTCAGACCGGTGAGCTTTGGTTAAGGAGCCCCACTGTGATGAAAGGTTATTACAAGAACAGAGAAGCTACTGCGGTTACTATAGATTCAGATGGGTGGTTGAAGACTGGTGACTTGTGTTATATTGATAGTGAAGGTTTTGTGTTTGTTGTTGATAGATTAAAGGAGCTTATCAAATGCAATGGTTATCAGGTAACTTAAAAATAAATATATATGTTTAGATTGAGTTTGATTTTTTTTTGTAAAGTTTGTGGTTTTGGTGGTGTTTAGGTTGCTCCAGCAGAACTAGAGGCAGTGTTGCTTGCGCATCCTGAGATTGATGACGCGGCAGTGATACCGTGAGAACCCATCACCAAGTTTTTTCTATTTTAATGACCATTTTTGCTGGAGATTTTTATGTTTATGTATTATTGTTTTTTGAAGTATCCCTGATGAGAAAGCTGGGGAGTATCCAATGGCGTATATTGTACGAAAAGCTGGAAGTAACTTGTCCGAAAGTGAAATCATGGGCTTTGTTGCAAAACAGGTTTTTTTGTTCTCCCAACAATGCTAAGATCATGTTTTCTCACTAATCTAACCGTGGTGTTTTGGGTTGCTTAGGTGTCGCGGTACAAGAAGATACGTAAAGTCGTATTTTTAGGTTCAATCCCCAAAAATCCATCGGGGAAGATTTTGAGAAGAGAACTTAGAAAGCTCACAACTTCAAAACTCTAGCAGGAAGCTGTGTCCTACCATCATTATCTCGCACTTTACCGTTAGTTAACTCGTTTGTTTGGTTAACCGATTTATTGACTTCCTCAATAGAAGTCTCTGAATAAACTGAATATTGCGATTAAGAGTACTGCAAATGCTAATCAGAGACAAAGAAGTTGCAACTTCTACTAGGTAATTTTGTAGAACAATCTTGTTGCTAACTGTATACGAATATCATTAGCTATCTATCAGTAATGATAGCTTATCTATCTTTATTAAAGAGTGTTTTGTACACTAGATTGGATTTCAAAGTTTCATGAAATTAGTTGTATATCAATACAATACTAGTCAATATTATCACAAACATTTGTCTATAGTCAATTATAACTTTACTAAAAATCATCTGGTTCTTTCGCCTTACTTTCTCAATTTCAGTGAAAACACTGAGCCATAGTTTGCAGAACAATATGTAATAATAACTTCTAGTTAACTATACATACAACCAGACATTATAATAATCCAAGTCAACAACTTAAGAGATTATAAAACTTTACCGAGCGTTTTTTTCAGAATAATAATCATCATAGACACCAACTATCAAGCTCTAAAACTTAAAATATTAGTAAAACAAAACCCATACAGATTAGTTAAACTCATAAGTTGGGACAGGAGGCGCATCAAAGCTCTCAAGAACCTGAGTTTTGCTCCCTGTCTCACCCTCAGCCTCCTTCTTCTTCCCTTTCCCAAACAAACCTCCAAACCAAGATCCCGAACCTGAACCAACCTCCGAAGCAGAAGAACTCTCTGCCACTGGCACGGCCTGTCCAAAAACCTGACCAGGTGGTAACGAGGCCACCGCCACATCACCCATCATAGCCTGCTGATGCTGCGCAGCACTCGCTAACTTGTCCGCAGCGATCTGGACTCCTCCTATGAGAGCTAAAATCACACCTCCGGCAAGAGCCGCTCTACCGGAGGCGCGGAAGCCTTGACGAAGCGATAAAAGGCCTCCGGTGGCGGCGCCGGCGAAGATTGAGTTCCACGGATCTTCCTTCTGTCTAGCGTACACCATGGCGCAGTCCAAGGTCGAGAAGAGACCGCCCCACACGGCGAAGCCTCCTCCGACTTGGGGAGCGTTCATACGTACGTACTGTGCGCCGCCGGAGAGACGAGCGCCGGAGGGAGAGTTGACGATTCCTCTGATGAAGTGATAGACGGATCCTCCGGTGATACCCATGCCGAACGCACCGCCGATGTCATCTAAGATACGGTCGGGACATGGCTCTCGTGTAGTCTCTGGAGTTCCCATCGGTTTTGCTTTTTCTTGACGTTTGCAAAACTGTGGAAAAAAGTAGAATCAAAGAACCCTTAAATCCTCTGTTGCGAAAATGGAAAGATAAATTTACGTGTTCTCCAAGATTTTTTTTAATAATATGTAAGGCTTCAATAGGCCCATTTCAAATAAGCCCATGAACATTTTAAATAAGCCCATTTAATAAACCCAAAAATGTCAAGTAATATGAATGGAAAAAGAATGTGAATTAGGATTTTATATTTTCTTTCATTATAGTGAATTGATTAATGAGATATTAGGTCTCATATACATAGAAAAAGTCATATTTAAACAAATACCCTAAACACTATTTATATTTCTAAATTCCAATACTATCCCTGCCCTCTTGCCATTGCCCTTGCCCCTGCGATTGCCCAAATTTCTTTCTTTTCCTTTTCTCTTTCGTATCCTCTTAAAATTTCTTACTAAGCAATAATATTCTTTCTCTCTTTCATCTTTCCTAATCTTTTAACTAGCCTTTTTTTCACAAATGTAGATTCTTCTCTTTCGTATTTCTATTGTTGTGGATCTAATAAGTAATGTCTCATCGACTAATCCGTAATTTTCATCAGTTTCTTCGAAGTTGACTACAATTTTAAAGGTTCCAAACGAATCCATGGAGTAGACATGAAAGATCTCTTCAATTTTAAAGATTCCAAGCGAATCCATGGAATCTTCTTCTTCTTCCTTTTTTTCTCTTTTCTTTTTCCTTTCAAATCTCCCTTTACTCAAAAATTAGGGTTTTTTTCAAAAGGAATATCATTTTGAAAATCCATTGATTTCTCCTCCCGAATCCAATTCGAAAGTTAGAGAATCCGCCAGTACGGACCATGATTCAAATCGAGGTCAGAGATCCGAGAATCACGAAGTAGATCCGGTGACAAGAAAGTCGGGATCCGGTGGCAAATCGAGTATTGTTAGCAGGTAAATCTTAGAATAACTGTTACAAAATATATTAAAAAGTTTTAAAATAGTTATCAGATGTTAATAAATAGCTACATTAACTGATACATAATGTGTTAGAGAATACGAAATTGATTACCGATCTAACAAGTTGTATAACGCCTAACATCAAAGCTTAGCAGTTACATTTTATATTATATGTTTTCATTAACCGATACATGCTCGGTTAACTGTAATAAAACATGTTAACGCTTTTAAAATTGGTTGCCAAGATGTTAAATGCTACAAACTAAGTTATCGAACTAACTTGTTTATTATTTAAGGTTAATAATTACTGTATCTTATACAAACCAAATGTAGCATCTAACATTATATTTTATATGGCACATACATAAAAGATTGAGGTCATGGTTTTACTATATGATAAATACATGTTTCTAATAAGCAAGTTACCCGCTAACAATTTTTATAATATTTTACATTAAAACTTACCATTAAATCTTAGCATTAAATCGAGTATTGTTAGCAGGTAAATCTTAGCTTAACTGTTACAAAATATATGGAAAAAGTTTTAAAATAGTTTATCAGATGTTAATAAATAGCTACATTAATTGATACATAATATGTTAAAGAATACGATATTGATTACCAATCTAACAAGTTGTATAACGTCGAACATCAAAGCTTAGCAGTTACATTTTATATTATATGTTTTCATTAACCGATACATGCTCGGTTAACTGTTATAAAACATGTTAACGCTTTTAAAATTGGTTGCCAAGATGTTATCGAACTAACTACATTATTAGATGTTAAACTTATTTCTTATTTAAGGTTAATAATTATTGTATCTTATACAAACCAAATGTAGCATCTAACATTATATTTTATATGGCACATACATTTAAGATTGAGGTCATGGTTTTACTATATAATAAATACATGTTTCTAATATGCAAGTTATCCGCTAACAATTTTTATAATATTTTATATTAAAACTTAGCATTAAACATCATATTTTAATTTACAATAATATATGCTTGAGTTTCTTATTGTGTTTTTTGTCTCTATAGATTGTCGATTCGTGCAACCAATGGTAATCCTTAATTCATCGGTGAGAGATTCATAAATGGTGGAAGTGGAGACAAGTGAAAAAAACGGAAAAGAGAGAGAAAGAAAGAGAAAAAAAGGGAGAGAAGTGAAAAAAACAGGAAAGAGAGAGAAAAATGGATAGATATCAAGGGCAGGGGTAAAAATATCCAGGGGGACAAAAAATATGGGTTTTTTATCATTTTGTTAAAGAATAAAGAAGAAGGTTGTAACTCTCATTGTATTATTAATCACGTGGTTACACATATATATATACATACAAGAGAATAAAGCATATTCCTTAGGAGATAAGGATTGCTACAAATAAAGGGGATGATTATCCTAATCCTATAATGATTAGGATAACTACAACATATGGATAAATACAAGGGAGGATAA